TCCTAAACCATACATACCCGTAATGCTACTATAGCCATTGGTGGTTCAATCCCTTTAGAACTATGTATTTTTGCAGATAATACATCTTGGAACATGAGCCTATTTGGTTTAGATTATACGGTCATTATGCCTATTGCAGGTCTTTCTTTAAGCCTTTAAAAATGTTATATGAATTATTAATTAGGTATTAAAAAACTTACCAAGACCAGAATCAACTCTCGATGCTATCGAATACTAAAGATTTTCATCAGATTTAAATACGATCTGCGGTTGATGACTTAACGTAAAACTGGATTATCGAGACTTTGTTTATTATCGTAGTAACGGTAGCAATGACAATGGAGACTACACTGCTATTGTAACAATGACATCTCGGCTAAGAGTGAAATAATTTGACTGAAATTTTTAACTATTATAGCGAGAATTATCAGCTCTTTATCTTGTCTTACATAATGCTCCTTTAATATAATGTGTTGAATATCTAAATATTGGCCATGTGGATCTAAAATAGTATGCGGACGGATTTCCACTTTACAAGAAAATCAACACATCAAACTTTGAATTTTTTAGACCAATTAATGTGGTCCATTTATTTGAAGTTATTGATTAAAAGATTACATGCATCCATTTTGTTTTTGTTCTCCAACAGATATGACAATTGTTATTGTGGTGACAACGTGTGTAGCTGCAGTATGTATATTGATATTTGTCGCTATAGCCGTATCTACGTATTTTAGATACAAACGTCGAAAGCGGTAAGTAAAACGTCACTTCCCGATCGTATACTATTTTCGATGTCATAAGTATCTTATCCAACATGTTTTTTCTAACTAACCAGAAAAAACAAATCATACAACAGCAGAGTTTCCATAGTTTGTGGGAGCCGCATTGGCTCAGTGAGTATTCGTTAACTTGTAGGTCCCAGGTTCGATCTCAATTTTCCGACGTGCCCCCCCCCCCTCCCCGTCGCTTGTGCAGAAACTAGCAAGAGGCAACGTATAGTAGTTCGGATGGGACCAAAAACCGACGTCCAGTGAGTGACACATTGGCGTGCAGGTAAAAGAACCCTTGACAATTGGAAGTCGCTATTAGAGTAGGCCTTAGTGCCGCTTTTCGGGCAAAATTTCCCTCATAGCATACTGTATGTCGTATGCCCGTCTTCATTAGCCCATCTGGAGCAGAACAGTGGGACGTTAAACCCTATTTCATCTCTTATTAAAGGTACATTAGTATATTCTGAACACGACAAAGGCTCAGTTTTTAACAGAGTCCTGTCGATTTTCAGCGTTCCGCGACTTTTTGTTACGGAATTATGCCCCCTTAAAAAAAAAAACAACAAAAAACAAAACATAAAAAACTTTCGAACGCGATATAAGGTACAGTTATTAACAGATTGGCTTGTGAGCGATATATGCTAGGCTACAGTTTTCGAATGATCCTTCCAAATTCGGGTGTGAAGCATTTTGGTCATGGGAGGACGAACCGTATCTATATGCAGCGTTGTACAAAATTCCGTTCTGGAGTTATCTCGCTTGCCGAAATTTGGTGCGAACACGATAGGCGCTACTTGCCTGACTGTCATTTCCGGACAATATAGGGCCAGTTAATATAACTTACAAATTGACAAAGAAATTTGCCCGTGTGCTATTTTTTTTCTGTATTTCATTTATTTTGTGATACCTAGCAGATTTCGTTAAAAGCTGTATAAAGTTTTCTTCTCTCAAAATAGGTTTTTATTATTAAAAATCTTGTAGTCAATACCAGGATATTCACACCGGTGCCACTGTCCGTATTAAACAGGATTGATAAGGGTTAAAGTTGCAATATCCTTATTAACGGATAAAAACAAAACACGCCCAGTCTTAGCCTGGAGTTACAACCTACTGTATTGTGGACATCCTGAAACTCGGCCACCTGGACAGATCTCAGATGCTACGTTTGTAAAGTATATTTCTTAAATTAGTTGGAAACAAAATAACGTTTCTGTACAGGAAGTGGATTTAACACAGTGGGGCATTATTTGAGAATATTGGAAGTTTCGAATCTATAATATGCATATTCAGCACTAAATTTAAAATGACAAATTGCTGATTTGTGACATGTTATGCCGGCTTGCATTATTGCAACTTTCAGGGGCGGATCCAGGATTTTCAGAAGGAGGGTGGGCGTGCTGTCCCCATTTGGGAGTGCGAAGCCGGGCCCTCGGTTGGCGGACTGACGGGCAATCAACCAAGTCACCAATCGGCTAGTTTCGGAGTAAATTACGACGGCGTTCACTACCATTTTTAAGTATTTATGGTCTCCTTTCCCGCGAGAATAGGGGCAAAATTTTTTTCAACACCACAAAAACTGGATGGGGGTTGGGGTGCACGACTTTAAGGTTAGAGTGAGCTGTGTTAAGATATTCTGAAATGATTTAAAAGTGTTTTGTTTTTTCTGTTAAATAGTTCAGAAACAGATGGGAACAATGGCGATGCTCCAGCACCAACCCCAACTGCCGTGCCAATAGTACCAGACCATGAGACGTCCCATGAAGAACCTGGATCTAGCCGACCTACATCGACAACTAGAATTATTCCTATACGATTTTATAGTGCCTCGCCAGAGCCATCGAATTTATATAGATCGATTTCTAGGCATTACTCTCAATAGTTCAGTGTAATAAAAGACTGTAAATATTTTAATAGTACTAATATAAATCACACAGGAAAGAATGAAAATCCAAAAACGTAGGATTCTATAGTTTCTTGAAGTTATTGTGATCTTAGCTAATGGCAAGCATAATTCCCAACAGCTACATACATTACAAAAGGGGTCTTAAATGCAACTTGTAAAATCACTGTATATTATAAGAAATTTAATGTTTACGAATTCCATAACTAAACGGGAGAAAAAGTTAAAGACCAAATTTATAAAAGGATCATAATAAAGCAGTGGCTTTAAAGGGTTTTAAAAAGGTATTTCTTATTTTTACTTCTTAAGAAAAGGAATACAAGTATACTTAAATAACATTTCTATTATAAAACGATTTATTTACTTTTTTCAAATATAAACCGACATTATTAAATTGATGTAAATGTTTTGTATATATCATTAATAATTATTAGAAATCATGTTGATGCTACATATATAAAAATAATCAGAATATTTTTTCATTATACTGAAATTTGTATATGACGTTCCATTTGAAAATAAAATTATATTTTAAAAAAATAATAATTTCTTGCTTGCTAATTCCATAATATATTGTACATAATTATATAACATATATGCTCTTCTCTAATTCTCTAACACTTGCACATAATAATAAATTATTTTTTAAACTAAGTTCATGATTAACATGTTCATCGCAAGTTCCAATCGAGAAATTGGGCATCTGAAAAGTCTACAAATTGTTTGAATGAGACCATATCACCAATTATTTTTATGTATGTCTCTACCTGTTTACAGATTATTCCTCCTTCTTTCTATTTTCCCCGTGTGTTCGTTCCTGTTGACTTTTTGAATTACATCAATGAGATTAGTCAGATCAGTTGTTTATTGGTGGCTACATCTCAAACTTTGGAGATGGTCATCAATATTATAGTAGATACAAATAGTAATAGTATCTGTATGTAAAATTGATGTCACGAAGTGGTCTGGGCCCGAATCGTTTACTAGAGTTGTCTCTCGTCGCATACAAATATTCAGTGTCGCAATTTCTTCTAACGATAAACCGATATCTACAAAAAAGGATTGAAAATAAAGGGAAACGATCCGAAGTATTAACAATAATACACAGAAGGACTGGGTTTAATAATCATAATAAACGGGACAGTTTTTACTGAAGTGAATCCGAATGTAGTTCCTTTCCAGTTGGAAAATCAGATTAGTTTGTATCTGCGAGTATCTGACTGCTCGGTTTATGAGAGCCGCTGTGGTCCAGTGAGTAAGGTTCTAACTAACTTACCAGGTGGCCGAGAAAATTCCCAAGAAATTTCCATAATGGAATCCCCTTGTCAATGGAGTAGGACGGATGACCTAGCAAGGAACACAGTCTAGTCGTTCGGATGGAGCGAAACAACTAGGTCCCGTGCACATCTTGGCGTGTACATAAAGAAACTCTTGACAGCTGGATTTAATTTATTTGCTCTTAGAGATACCAACATATTGTGCAATATTTTATTGTCAGTAGATACTTAAAGATGCATTATATCCGATTTAGATAAAGAGCTGGCTGTTCTTACTATTATAGCCCCAAAATAGATAATGTAAAATGAATGTATTGAACATTTCAATGAAATTGATTTATTCTGAGCGAATTTATCGCATATAGATGTGGCATAGATTGTTTATTATCGTAACATCGGAACTTGTTGTTCGATACTTAGCTGCAATCCGTTTAAATCTCCCCATCCGATGGCCTTAAGAGTTGATTTTAGAGTTGTCATGTGAATAAAGGTATAAATAATAGTTATTATAACATTTGAAGCCAAACGAAAGACATGCAACAGATCGATTTAGCTCTTACATAATGCATCTTTAATATGCTATACTCTTCGGAGATTAAGTTAATCATTTATGCAATAGAATGATTCTCGATTGAATCGAATGATAGCATCGTTCATTAAAGCATCCATTGTTTACTCTACTTTCTGGAGATGAACTCGACGATTGCACTGGAAACGAAATAATGACTCGGTTTTTTCTTGGCACGCAATGGTGTCTTTTATGATAAATTGTAATCACCGATCTCTCTTTAAAAAGAAGCTAATCGTGCCATAATGTTTTACGAGTTGCTAAATGCATCAATTAAAGCCCACGTTCTCTATCAATGTGTAAGAGTGGGATTGCTATTCTATATATATACTCCATGTAGATTGGTGTAAACATACGTATTGATCCGGTCCGTCATTTGGCTTTTAATGGCTTTGAAATGGTCCCTCGCAGCACGGCAATACGGCACAGCTGGTGGGTAAAACGAGCATGCGCTGCTAGGATTCGTTTCCTGTATACTGAGGCAAACATTCCGTTATCGTCTGCCAACCTGCCACGCTTCCTACCTTCAATTTAAAGAGACTAAGTACTGTCAGTTGTCGTCATGGGTTAGACTGAAAACCTCTTACCGTTCGGCCCCTTCCCCGGTACTTAGAAGAGGGTTCTGAGGATTAACTAGGAGCTAGCTATATAGAGAACATACACACAGAGAGGAAATAAGAGTCCAGGTTAGTCAATTGTTTGTTTGGAAGATTAATGGCATTAAATTAAACTCATAAATCCAATGATTATTATTATAGATATATCAGATTTTATAGAGCTAACTAAGATGACATGTTTGGAATATTAATGGCATTAAATTAAACACATAAATCGAATGATTATTATTATTATTGATGTACTATGTTTTATATGACATGTATCCTGTTTGTTGAGCTAGTGTTGACAGTTGTTATTTATTTAAATAAACATAAAGTCGTTAAAGAAACACACAGTAGGTAACAAGATACACTATGAGTAGATGTTTTAGCTATCTCTGCTTAAGATACAAGGTAGATTAAGAGACAGACAGTAGATACACCATATTATAGCTATCTCTACTTAAGACACAAGGTAGACACAGACACAAGGTAAACACATAAGTAGACAAGATATGCCATATACTACGAGTAGATGTATTAACTATCTCTGCTTAAGACACAAGGTAGATTAAGAGACACATAAGTAGACAAGAGATAAATACATCATATATACAATATACTAGGAGTAAATGTAGTGGCTGTCTCGGCTTAAGACACATGGTAGACTGAAAGACACACAAGTAGATCAAGAGACAGATACAAGAGACAGATACATCATATATTATAGTTATCTCTGCTTAAGGCACAAGGTAGATTGAGAGACACCATATACTACGTGTAGATGTATTAGCTATCTCTGCTTAAGTCTCACGGTAGATTGAGATATATATAAGTAGATGTAATAATTATCTCTACCTAAGAGACACATCATATAGTATAGGTATCTCTATTTAAAGGGGATGTGGCTCTATTCTTTGGAACCTTAAAATAGACAAAAATGGGCCATGAAATGAAATGGGGTTTAACTTCCTACTATTCCACTTCCACTGAAAAGCATACATTAATGTAATATGAATGTGTGTAAAGTGAGTTATATTCAATTTTTAAAAAATTGTTTTTGTTATTTCTAATCAATTACGCCAGCTTAGTTCATTATACACGATTTTTATAATTATTTTGTCATTTGTGAATTAGTCATTACTTCAGCATTTGTTTTTCTTTGTCCCTTACAAATGGCACCCAAAACCATAGTAACACGACTCATGTACCGATTTTAAAATGTTCATTATGTCTTAAATATTGGATATTGGGATCCATTATTTCACGGTAACATAACAAGACCAATATTGATTGAGATGGGCCAATATTGAATTTTAATTTGTGTTTTTACTTTCGAATTTTATGAAAAATATTGAGTTACAGGTTTAGCTCAGTAAGACCTTTTTATGAACGACAATAAACTGTCATTAAAAATTGTTAATTCACTATTTATACTAAATGTAACCAAAATTGGTTGAAGAGACATATTAGACTACGTTGAATTATTAGTAATCTCTACTCGAGGGGGTTGGGTGGCCGAATGGCTAGCGCGTGCGCGTTATATCATGAGTAAACTGGCGTGGTTTCGATTCTCAAGTTGTACGTGACAAGGAGTGGGGTCCCCTGCCCAGTCTCGTGGCTTTTCTCCGTGTCCTCATGTTGCCCCCCCCACTACTAAATACCCCTACGCGCAAGCGAATTATTGAAATAAAATTGCACCATGTGTTAGTCCCGAAACGACCTAGTTTGTTTCGAGTGGACGGTAATCTCTCTCTCTCTCTCTTTCTCTCTCTCCTCAATACTTTGGGTAATTGAAAAGAAACAATGATGGTGTATCAAGTTACTTAAGTCTAAAAGATTTGCGAAATATCACCGACAATTTACGAAACACCTTGCTTGATGTCAATGTCGTTATACTTGACACCATCTAGATGAGCGAGTCTAATTGAATTAAACAGAAGCTTGTAAATGTTAGCCCATCAACAAGAATAGTACAGCAAATAATTACGTTAAAAATATATTATAAGAATTGCGAAATATCGTAATCGAAACCTGCTTGATCGTAATTATAAACGTAAAAATAATTTGTCCATTGTGTAATAAGTGGAGATATGAGTTAAGATTTCAATTACATCAAATGGCAATACGTGATATACTAACGATTTCGTTATTGCGTTATTAGACATTTCGTAACATCTGCGAAATATCGGAAATGTTTAATGAAAATACCCTTTCTATTTTAACTCTAAACTTATATATAGATGCTTAAGACGATAAAAGTTACTAGCCCATTTTAGACTTTAATGACACCAAGAAGAAGCTTGCAAATGGTTATGCGTAATATATACCAATTATTACGTTACGAGATATTTCTAAACATCTACCAAATATCGGAAATGTTTAGTAACATGTACGAGCGTACTATGGAGTTGATGGGTGCAATTCAAAAATCAAATTCACCAAATCGGTGCAGAATTGTTCAAAGAAGAATCGTGCCAATTTTCATGTCCATCGGACAAGATGAGTAGCGGTTAGCGACTAGTTCCTGCCCCCCCCCCCCCCCCCGCGCGCGGCAAAAAAATACTCGTTGTAACTTAACTCTAAACTGAAGCATGGGTGATAAGGAGAAAATAGTAAATCGTTATTAGTAATCACTAGTAATTACATCAACAAGGATCTAATATTAAATACCTTTCATTACGTTACGGGATATTTCTCAGTATTTGCGAAATATCGTGATGCTATGTTTTATCATAATGTCACCACGAGCGTACTACTGTGTTCACTATATTCAGAATGCCGATTAATAATTCACAATTGAGATGCTGTGTTTTCAGTTTCGGTGGTTATAATTCCTATTCAATAATATTGATCAACACGCTACATTTTAGAGTAGACTATTGTTTTAAAAACAAGATAAAGACAAAGGACGCTAGAACTTCAAATATTTAATCTATGTAGCGGATCTAGATGCTCTCTAAATAGGGGGGGGGGCGGTTCCAAATCTAGGGGGCCATCCACAATCCTACCCCACAATGACTGCCAACAAAATACTGGCTATAACACTGAGCGCCCCGGTAGAACATACATAGATCGTATTGCCTATATAGTTGTTTGCTGATCGTTATCTCACCGGAAAGCAGTTTTATTCAAGTTGACATAAAGTTCATGTCATATTGTTATTGATTTGGTTATTAATTTTTGAGAACCTTAGGTGCAGTGGCGTAGTCAGAATGTTTGTGAAGGTGTGTGTGTGTGTGGGGGGGGGGGGCTAGCATCTTGAAGGGGCTTTCGAGGAGGGGCTGGGGGGAGGGGGAGAGATTGGATGCTAACGGCATCCTGCGAGCACCGTAGGCGCAAGCACCCTGAAGGAGCATTCGGGGAGAAGGAAGAGATATTCCTCCGCATGAGAAAATTTGGAAGATTTGAGTCAATTTCCTGGCATTTTAGGTCATTATTGGAGCAAATTCTTGTGAACTAAAGGATCAGAAATGGGACATAATCTCGAGATCTGCATGTCAATATGCAGTTCTAAGACAAAAGGGCACAAATGTATGCGAATTTGGGACCAGCGATTTTTCTTTTGAACTAACTTTTCTTTTGTACAGTATGTTGAATTAGTGTCGGCTTCTGAAGTCCAGGATTAGCTATCGATTCGTAGAGGAAGGCGCAGTGATGTGTGTCGTGCCTAGTGTGGGGAATGCTTACTTTAAATAAAAACCTGTCTGCTTTATAGTAACTAAAAGTAATACCAATTCAATTCAGTGACGTATGCAACATTTTCTAACGTTTTATCAATCAGATTCAAATACAGATCTATATTTCGTTTCGTTTTTTTATACTTTCGATGGGCTACACTACATTTCTAGTGGTTTACCCATGCCAAGAAGTCGCCGTAACAGATGGTTTCATTGGCTAATACCTCGCGCCATCCAGAATGCATGTTATATAACAACTCTTCCAGATCGTAGCTAGTGAAGTACAGAAGTACAGAAAAATAAAACGAAATTTTGAACTAGAAAAAAAACCGAAACGAAACAGGATCTATGTTTAAATCAGATTACTTTTTTATGAACACCACTCTAGACGCCCGAAAAATGATGCAACATCCTATTTAGAAACATTTATGTGATACATTATAAAGATGGCTGCCATGAAGCTAAAATTGTTAGGATGTGATTATGACATTAAAAATGAACAAAGCTCCTAGCTTAGTATTCTTTAGTTTTATTTTTATTTTAGTAGTTTTATTTAAACAAGAAATAAAATCTGTGATTAGAGATATTAGCTGTAAGCTATACTAGACATTACATCCTACTGGACTACATTAATAATTCATGATTGATAATTGCCTATTTCTACTTAATTACAATTTGATTGGTTAGTTCTGAATAAATAAACATGTATGTTATGTGCATTAGGTATCAACACGCGTTTTGTGTTTGTGTATATGTAAATGAAATGAAATGGAGTTTAACGTCCTACTGTTCTGCTCCGACTGGGCTAATGAAGACGGTCATACACCATGCAGTGTGCTATGAGGGAAATTGTGCCCGGGCAGCGGCGCTATGACCTACTCGTATATCGAATTCGAACTTCTAAGGGATCTTTTGCGTGCATGACAATGTATATACACGGGACCACGATTTTTCGTACCATCCGAACGACTAGACAACTGTCCTAATCAGGCCCACCGTTTTGCACCACGTCGGAAAATCCCGGTGAACTTTCTCGGTCAAAGCAGGGATGGAACACGCGACCTGTTCGTGTATTATGAAATATATCAGAAAATAATATTCTTTTTATCTTTCTGTCTGGGTATCTTTCCCAAATGACAAGTTGAACAATTATTGTGTTTAGTTCTCTAACAGTCTCTTCTATTATATCACAGAAACATATTTACACTTTTATTCAATTTATAGAAAGAAAGAAGCAAGGAAAAGATGAATTATTATTTTAGAAACAGTACTTAATATTGCCTTATACGTCCATATACTTTATCATATTCAGACATAAAATGAAATGAAATGTTGTTTAACGTCCTACACTTCTGCTCCGACTGGGATAATGAAGAAGGGCATACGTCATACAGTGTGCTGTGGTGGAAC